CGGGCGAGCTGGTGCTAGACGGCTGCCAGGGCTGCCCCGACGCCCCCTCCCCGGGCGAAGTCGTCCTTCCCCGAGAGCCGCCGCCCCCCGCGCTCGGGGCCGGCTTGGCTGGGGGCCCCGGCGCTGACAGAGCCGCTGTGTCCCTAGGAGGAGCTGCCGCTGCCTTTCGAGCACTTTCTGCAGAGGATCGCCCGGAGACCCCGGCCGCAGCAGTTCTTCGGCTTGATGGGCAAGCGGGACGCGGGTGAGGCTGCGAGTGTCGGCGCTCTAGGGCTGCCCCCAGGGCTTGGCTTGGCCCTCTTCTCCCCCGGCCTTTGGCTTTAGCCCACGTTTCTCTCTTCCCCGGCCCTGCCCAGGCCTCTTGCCACCCCCTGGGGAGGAGGCAGTGCGGTTGGTGGCAGTCTTCTTTGCCATGATTGCCCCCTGGCACATCCACAGAAATGGGCCCCACCTGCTTCAGTGGGTGAAGCAAATACAAAGTGGTAGAAACACTGTTGGGGTTGTCCCTCCCGCTCACCTCCACGGGGCATCGGCAAATGTTTAATGTCCAGGTCTATGTCTGGATTACTTCTAGGAGCACCTCACAGGTAGACTAGTGCAGATCTCCTTTCCTCCTAGACATCCCTGGTTTTGTGGTGTTTAGTCCCAGGTATCCATGCTTGTGCAGTATGTATAATTTAATGCTAAAATACAAAGTCTGTTCCAGCCATTGAAGTGCCTCCTCCTTAATATAAGATCACTACATGGTTTGGACAACAAGTGGGTTTTCATGTTAAATACTTAGAAGCTTACAATAGTTTGCAACCTCCCAAAAGAAAATGTGATACCATGTTGTGTGGGCTGGTCCCTGTGCCTTTAACTAAATGAATGAAATACAGAAATGAGGTGGACATATAATTATTGGCATGTTTTCTAATTGAGAGCCTTTACTAGGTTAATGGGTGAAAATAATTTGGTTAGGGCTCTAAATAGTTAACTAACTGTATCTTTCATTAAGAAGAAACACTTTATTGATTAAGATAATATACTGTATATCCCAAGAAAAAATTATGGCCATAAATAATTGCATTAATTTTCCATAAGTGTAAGCTAAGTGATAAGGGAGTTTCCCTCCTGAAAAAGAATCACAATGGGAGAGATTGCATTCTATATTCCATCACTATTAAAATTTAATCTTTTTTCCCCCACCTAGGCTATGGCCAAATCTCTCATAAAAGTAAGTTGAAAACCTTTTTCTAAACAATTATCAAGAACCAGTACTAGGACATGAGCTAACTGAAATTGTTGTAATGTAGCATTTGATGTCACCATAACTTAGAATGTTTATGTTTCTTGAAAACAGGAATAGAGGAGAAATCTTTCTAGCCCTGGGCGTACTCGTAAATCTAACTACAGATAGGTCTCAATCCATTTACGTACTCTGAATCTCCATAAAATCTGAGATCAATTCAGATCCAAATGCAATCTTTTCAGCTCTATCCGATTTTTCCAGGACTGGAGTCTACCAGTTTTACTCACAGCCAGTGTGGGCTGACTGCCAGAGTTAAAACAAAGGGATTAAGGTGGGATAAACTAGCAAATCAGAATATTAAAACCCAAATCCCTGAAGTTCCAAACAGCTCCAAACATGATGTGAGATATTATTATATCAATATTCAAAGTAAAGGGTGATTGACTCTCAGATATTTTCACATAAGCGAATGCACCTTGCAGCATGAAAAAGCGTGGCTTGCTTTATTCCAAAATACCAGCAAGGACAACTTATATCAACAATAAAATGTTATGTTTTCATTGGATACTTTTTTCCCCCTCTAAAACTGCTTGAAATCCAAAAGCTTTGATTTTCTAAAGTAAAGATTAACCTTTTTATATTTTGTGAGACCTCTGCTGTCAAAAAAACAGTCCATAAGTATCCAAGCATTCTGCACTAATGGCTATATATATCACTACGATTACCTCTCTGAATAACAGTTTAGAAAGAGTCTCATCCAAAACTCATGCCAGATTAACCAGATGTAGCTGCTGGCTGAAGCCAGAATTATAGCCTTCTTTACACGTCTCATCTCTGAAGATCAGTAACTCAGCACAGAGAGCTGACTTGTGAGCTCATTTATCTTTCTTGTTGTAAAGTCTTTTGCCTTTTTTGAAGATTTTGCACATTTTTGTTCAAGTCACAAATTAAATTAATTTTAATTTTAATTTAAAATATCCTGACCTAATGCAAGATTGTAGAGTCCTGTTGTAATTGATCATAGGAGCAGTCCAAGTGGTTCCATTAGGACTATGTACAGGAGTTAACATTAAGTAGCATTAGTAAGAACTTCAGGATCTGGTCCAATGAAGAAGGATCTATTCTATATAAGAGAAGAAAACAGCTATATGAAAGAATTATTTAATAAAATATATGAATTTAACAAACCTACAATACTGAAAAGAGAAACGTGTCAAGATATGGAGCCTGGTCATGCTTTTACTAAAATGAAAAGGAATCGTACCATTGACTGCTGTGGTAGCACATCTGGGATCAGTTAACCAGCAGTTCTGTTTAACCACAGCAGAAATTGGAGGTTGGCAGAAAGGCTTTCTCTGGCCAGACTGGGCTTTGGATCAGACTCTATAAGTACAGAAAAGGATGATGGTTTTCCATTATACTAAAATTTAGTGTGCCATATCACTTAGTAATTGGGAAGAAACCTGTGTCTTCCATGTCTTCGTCATGAAATCACATTATCTCCGAAAAATTGCATATTTTAAATGTATTAAAACACCCCCAAATATATTTTTCCAGGGCATAAAACAGACTCCTTTGTTGGACTTATGGGCAAAAGATCTTTAAATTCTGGTATGTATGAACTACGGCTAAAACTAAAACTGTAACCTCTTAATTCTATTGCCTCTATTCTCTCCCAGTGAATGGGAAAGAGTCTTTACATGGGACAAGTCATAAAAAGATAGACAAGTTTGTCTGAAATCAGGGTTTTTTTTAATCAAAATATTCTGAGCTGTGGACCATGTTAATGCATGTGAAAATAAGAAATGGCCAGGAGAGACTGGTTCCAAGCACAATGTAAGCAATTGCCAAATAAGCTTTCCTAAACAATCGTGTTTATACTCTAATCCTGACCTGTATCAGGTCAGGATTAGGAGTAGTTTTTTATTGTGTCTGATGCTGATTCCAAGAACTTAGTCTTTCCATTGTAAGTGTTTCCCTTGCAGGTCAAGAAGTCAGTGATGTATTTCTTCAACATTTATAACGTTTTTCAATCATTAATTTTACATCTCTAAAAATATTCTAAAATGTAAAATATGCAGTAGACCAAAAAACCCAGTAAAATGTTAGGCATCATTAAGTAAGGAATTGAAAACGGAGAACATCATCGTGCCATTATACAAATCCATAGTGAACCCAGATCTTGAGGTCCCCACATCAAAAAAGGATGTAGGAGAATTAGAAAAGGTACAGAGAAGGGCAACCAAAATGATCAGGGTCCTGGAGCAGTTGCCATATGAAGAGAGACCAAAAAGGCTAGGACTCTTCAGTTTGAAAAGGAGAAGGCTGAGGGGGGGATATGACAGAGGTCTATAAAATCATGCAGGTTATGGACCATGTGAATAGGGAACTATTGTTCAACCAGCCCCAGAATACTAGCACTGGGGGGACACTCACAAGAGGGAGCATTTTTTTACGCAACAACATAGTTAACTTGTGGAATTTATTGCCACAGGCAGTAGAGGAAGCAGACAACATGGCTAAGGACTGGATAAATTCATGGATGATAGATCTATTAATGGCTATTGGACAGAATGGTTGGAGATGTTTCTTCTGGCATCTCTAAACCAATAATATTTGATGCTAGGGAGAGTACTGAATAGGGGATAGATTACTCTAGAGGTATGCAGTTCAGTGCTCTCCTTGTATAGCATCCACTTCTGCCACTTTCCGAGACAAGACACTCAGCTAGATGGACCATTAGTCTGACCCAGTATGGCACTTCTTAAATTTTTTTTTCTTTATCTATTCCAGTGTAAGAACATAAAACCTTAAGCATTAAACCAATATCATGACCTTCCCTTCCATTTACCCCAAACACCTACACATAACAGAAGCCCACTCCTTCTTGTGAATCTCTCCCAAATAACTGCAGCCTACCATTATCCATAATCTACTAGCTTTATGCATTACTTGAGAAACTTATGGCTACTTGGTTAAACAACCAAATGTTATTTAACTATCCAGAAGGGGCACCTTTTATTTAATGTGATCTAGTGCTTGTTTAAAGCTGCTGAAATAATTCTTCTTCTGTTATCAAGTAGATCATAAATTCCCATGTTGCATTTTTTGTATTGGACAGTATAAATTGTTTTTCCCCCTAAGGTTATGAATAGCTTTATTTTCAATTAAGTTGTATTCACAGTAGTAATATAGTTCTATCTTACCTTATTTTGAAAACTGCTCTGAATCATGAGCAATTTAGAATAATTTATCTGTGAAGGTAATAACCGTTAAATGCACATATCAGTTGTATATTTACAAGTTTATTATAGCAGTAAATAGTATCTTAGTGATTGGTCTCGTTCATGGGGATTAAGCTACTTAGGTACCAAAATAGATGCAGCAACTGTCAAAATTGATTGCCGTAATTTCCTTTTTAAAATTGTTGGAACAGTTAGAATACACTTATGTATAAAAATAACAAACTTGAATAACAAACCCCTACTGTCTGATAGTAACATAATGGCCTAATAAGTAAACCACAGGTTTTTAGATGTCCCTCATCACTGCTTTTCTGTCTGATGGAGGAGGTGAGGGGTGGGAGTTTTGATGGAAGGTATGGTCCAAACCATCTGGTCTGGCTGAAGATAATGAAAGTTCTAAGGGTTCAGGAGTGAATGGTAGGATGAATATTATCTGCAATTAATACTCTCCACCAAAAAAGAAAAGAAAAACATGCAGCAACAAAAAATCCAACATTGTTTGATGGGAAAGGTGAGGAAAGGTTACTTGAAAAGATTCTCTTTGTTTAGGAGTCAAGTAATCTAAAAATGTACTTGTTTTCTTCTCTTGATGGCTAATATCACTTGTCTGGAAAACTAAGTCTAGTAATTGGGTGAGAGTTTTCATCAGAATAATGCATCTTCTAGTGGATGTTGAAACTAGACATCCTATGATAATCTAAGGAACTATAATTCTGGTATGACAGCCAAAGTTCTGTGATTTACCAAAGAATTTCTGCCATCTAATGCTCTGGTCTTGCAGTGAGTTCATGCAGGCAGACCTCTACACCCACTGAAATCGGGTATCTAGAAAAAAACATAAATATGGTAAAAATATCATAGTAATCAATAGTGACAGTCTGCATATAGCCCTGACTACTTGTTCAGCTAATTTAACAGTAGGGTGTTTATTTTCTGATAAAAGTAAAAGAACTTTTCTACTACGTATTCTTCTAGGGTTTGAAAATATATTCTCCAAAATTCTGCTTATTTCTAATTTGGCCTCTTGATTGGTGAAACTTGAAATTCTTTTTACCTTAAACCTATGGAGTGGAATCATAATCCAAGACCTCCAAGATCTGCAGCAGTGGGTCCCACAAAATTAATTGTGTGTTTGCATGTGATAGTCATTTACCTGCATGCTCTACTAAGCATGGCCAGGCATGTTCCTGATTTCAGTTTTATATAGGAAGGTGTCTCTCATGTCCATGAGGCAAGCTTTCTAACTTGGAGGTAGAACAACACAGGGACCATTTTCCTTTAAAAGAAAAAAATATATGATTCTTCCTGAAGTAAACTGATGCTAAATGTATCCATGTAGAAGGGGACTATTTAGGCACCATCTGGTTTGTAGACAGCTCCATGTCAATTGACTCCTTCATTGCAGATTTTAATGAAAGATACACAAATAGTCTGAAGACAGTGGGAAGTTTGAAACCAGTGGAGAGTTGATTGTAAAGGGGCATGGTGAAAATGATTTTGTATTTTGATTACAAACCACTGTATGCGTTCAGAAGAATCTGCAATACTTTCAGAGGATACAGAGGTTTGGGGTTAATGGTTGTTTGAAAGATTCTGCTAGACTGCACGTCGGAGACCTGCCAACTTCCGTGGGGCACTGAGCACAGACAATAAAACCAACGGCAACTATGCTCATTAGAAAAAGCAAGGGGAACCACCAGGCAAGATCAGGATCTTTCCATAGGCAGATCTGTCACCTTAATGTGAAAGGGAGGTCAGCCATTTCACTGTTTTGTGTTTCCTTGAGTTTATTACAGTTACACAAGCCTTTACTTCTTCTTTTTCAGGATCCTCTGAAAGGAACACAGCACAGAATTACGAACGAAGGCGTAAATAAGACATTCCTGTGTATTATTTATTAAACTTCATTTGTTTAAATGGCCAATGCAGTGTAATATAAATTATCCACTGTAAGGAATAATTATTTATTTAATAATAATTGTTGTTTTTTGAGTTGTAAATTCAATAAAATGATTATTTTTCATATTGTGGCAGCGATACATGTTGTGTAAGTGTGTTGTGGTTCCAAAATAACAGCTCCTTATGGAACAGAAATTGATGATGTTGCACAGCAAAGCACATTATTTGACCTGTAAAATTGTGTTCACCAAACAAACAAACAAAATTATTTAAAGCAATCATATCAGCTTCACTACCAATGCAGAGCAGAACTGGTGTACAGTCTAGTGCCTCAATTTGTTTCCATGGTTTAAAATGTACTGTAATTTCCATATAAAAATATATTTGTAACATTGCAGCATGTTTTATGTTTTGTGGCTACATATATATATTTTAAAAAAAGGTTTGAATGTGAATTCAAGGTCTTCATTTCATAGTCTGGAATTTTATGCTCGTAACATTTTAAATAAAAACTACTTTTAAGATTTTGCAACATACTTTCCTTGGGTAGAGTGATGGAATTTATTTCAAACAAGTAAGTGTTCTGAAATAAGACCTGGATTAAAGCCATAGCTTTGGGTCCTAAGAGCAGAAAGCAAGATATTTATAATTGCCTCATTTTGCAAGACAACATATTCACCTTTTGCTGTTTGGGCAGGATAAGGGGAAATTAAAACTCTGGAGCTTCTTTGTGTATTCTATCATTACTGATAAGGATTTCTGGCAGCTGGAAGTAAACCTTTGTGGAACCAGTCATAGACAGTACTGAGAATCTACACATGAAATTAACATGTACATTGGTTTACAACGCACATGTAAATCAGAGAGATCAGCACATAGGGCCAGACTCCCATGTGTTCTGCAACTCTGGGGGAAGCAAAGGATTTGCTATAGAATCCACCTCCTGTTGCAGGTTTGTGCTAGAAGTTTTCTACTTTTTTTAAATGTGTCTGGACCATATGGTCACAATTAAAATAAGCACAAAGTGTATCTAATGCAATGCTGTTTTCCTTAGTTTGAAGACAACCTGAAATTCATCTTTAAAAGGTGTGAACTGCCACTTTCATTTATTCCCATAACATAACGACTTTGAAACTAACAATGAGAACTTAAGCATCAACATATTTAGCTACTTTAATTAAAACATTCACTCTTGTGATTGTGTACTATTTCCTGTCCAGCTACCAAAAATATTGAAGTTTTCCCTAGCCACTTCTTGATACCTTCAACCCTTACAAAATTCTGTTGCCTGTCAAAAATTAAAATTTGTGTGCAACATTATGGACAAAGCACCAAGTAGGGAGTAAGGGATGCTCAGCTCAGCTGAGCCAAAGGCAGCTCAGCTGAGCCAAATTCAGTTGAGGAGAGCAGGCTCCTCAGTGAGCAGATGGGCCACACCTGGGGCTGGTCAGGTGCATGTGACTAGAAGGGGTGGAGCACAAGGAGATATCAGCCCAGTTCTGGAGCCAGAGCAGGCAGTCTAGCCCAGACAGTGCTAGGGGAAAGAGCTCCAGGCAAAGAGCTGAAAGGGGGTGGGAACCATGAGTAGACTCAGGAGGGCCAGAGCTGCAGAATAGGAGCCTGGAGAGAGGCATCCCGCTGCAATTGAGAATGGCTGAGGTTCTGACTATTGTAGGCTGTTAAAGACTGAAGAACCAGGTTGTGGCTAGAGGCTATGGGCGGGGTGCCTGTGAGGCACTTCCAACTATCAGGGGCTGAGGTCAGGGTAAAACCCTGCAAGG